AGACATGGAGGCAAGTTGGAGTCTAGAGATGCCTAAGAGAGAGGGGCAGAATCCTGGAGGCTAAAAGAACATTCTAGACTCTTGTAGATAAGTGTACACTTGTATAGAATAGAGTAGAATACTCTAGAATATCATAGAGTTGTATAGAATACTCTAGAATTGAATTGTAGCCGTTAGATCAAGTAGATCTAAGCCGTCCATTGAGGAGGAGGACAAGTATAAATACCCCTCATGGCTGGCTCATTTGTATCATCGAAAGCTTGAGAGCAATAAAGCATTTATACGAGTTTCTCCACAATCTGTGTCCTAGTTTCCGCAAGAGTTAGGCTGACTAGCATAGTTCGAGTGAGTGTTGCTAGTGCCGCACGGGTTCGAGAATAAGTCCGTGACAATACGCACGGGAAAGAATAGTTGTTGCATATAATTTTACTCATGATCTAATTAAATATTAAAATAAAAATAACTTTTAAGACTTTTACATTTTCGAAAAATAAGAATACAATGAGCTAATACCATAAAGTATAAGTGATACAATAAATATTCGATGAAGAGTATTTTAGAGAAAATTAATTGACACCGCTCATTAGAATTTATTACTTATTGATTTTCATGATTAAGTTAATTTTAAAATTAAATATTGTTCTAAAAAAGTGAGTACAATAAGTGAGTGATATAAAATTTTAATTGAATACAATAAATATTAAAATTAATGATATTAGTTAAATTCATAAGAACTTGCTACTACTTAGTTAAATTAGTGCTAACATATGAGAGAAAATTATTTTACTAAATTGTTAATCGACTTAATTTATACCTAAAAGAACTAAATATGAGAGAATTATTTCGCTCGATTGTTACCCGACTTATCTTATACTAAAAAGAACTACATATATGAGAGAAAATCATCCCCTCATGAATTGTAAGCAAACATATCTTCTAATATCTAAAAGTTACAAGTATGAGAGAAAAAACCTCCCGCTCAATTATTAGCAACCTTATCTTCTTATATTCTAAAAGAACAACATATGAGAAAGAAAATTCTCCCGCTCACTTGTTAGTCGTCTTATCTTATCTTATACCTAAAAGCACTATATATGGAAGAGAAAATTCTCCCACTCAATTGTTAGCCGGATTATCATACTTAAAAAAACTACATATGAGAGAGAAAGTTATCCCCTTAATTGTTAGAAAGCTTATCTTCTTATCTTATAACTAAAAGCACTACATATGAGAGACAAAATTCTTCTGCTCAAATATTAGCCGGCTTATCTTATCTTATACTTAAAAGAACTACATATGAGAGAAAAAGTCCTCCCGCTCAATTATTAACAACTTTATCTTCTAATACCTAAAAGCACTATATATGAGAGAGAAACTTCTTCAGCTCATTTCCCCGCTCAATTGGTAGCAAGATTATCTTCTAATTACTAAAAGCACTAAAAATGATATCCGCTCAATTATTAGCATGAATTTATCAATAAGTATATGATTTCATTGATAAAACTTGTACTACGTTCTTATGCTACCATAAGTGTCTCACATCTTTGGAGACATTGTCACGTTATCACGTTATCATTGAAGTCAATGAATTGAAAAGTTTCTCAGCTTGATGCTCAAAATAGGAAATGAAAATATTGAGAATGTCATATATGGAGATGTCTTCATTGATATACAACATAGTATATTTATTACCACTTCAAATGTTCATATTACTTCAATTGGTGCTAGCACGTATCCATCATTTATGGAGAATATGATTGATCTATCATATTTTAAGCAAATGTTTATTTTGACACGAATAATGATGTTGAATTTATCAATAAGTATATGATTTCATTGATGTATGGAGAAATGAACACATACTCCATTCGTCCCTCTGGACTTTGCCAACTTTCTTTTTTTGTTTGTCCCAAAAAACTTTGCCACTTTCCTTTTAAAGCAATGTTTTTGTGGCTCTGTTCATTTCTCTCTCCTTTTCACAAACCTCAACCACACAAATTTTACTATTCTAATTTCCCATCTAACATCAACTTGGCAAAGTTGAGTGGGACGGAGGTAAAATTTGAGTAATGATAGTCCATGTTAGATCACTTCAAGGCAATATTGATGTTGAATTCGATGAAGTGCATATATTTAAAATTCCTTGAACACCATCATGGCATCAAATACACGAAACATAATTTTGGAATATAGATTAAGGTTCTTATTATGCTATTGAGAAACAGTGAATAATGTCCCAACTTATGTTTTGGAGGCAAAAGTTATACCTGAAAAAAATATTGGTCATATGGTTTTAATTTCAAGTTTATCATTCGTCTCATTAAATATCATAATTCCTTTGAAATTTGAATGCATTAAATTCCAAATTATGATTTCATTTGTCACAATAATAAAAATAAGTCGATTACAATCTCTGCATTAAACAACATATATCTACGAAAAATTGTTTTTGCACATAGTCAATTGTATGCCGTCATGCCAGGGGTTACACTAAGGAGTCGATTGTACGTCATCATATCAAGGATGATACCATGATTCTACAATTTAAGTGTCTCCATCAATGGCCCTAAGGAAGTTTTATAAAAATGAATGGTTCTGTACAAAAACGATAATAGCTTTTAGAAAAGTTCTTTATACACCATATTATCAATATTGTTGATAGCACGACTATCTTAATCACATATAAGAATGTTCAACTCACTCTTTGAGTTGATCAAGTACTACTTATTCTTACACCTTACCTTTTATTTTAAATTTACTTGCAACTTTTCATACGATCAACATTTTTCTTTTTCCTACAAACTACAATTATATAATCAAAGTTATAACATATAAACTCTACTATGTTTTATATTTATTTAAAATAATTGCATATTACGAAGCATCATAATAAAAGTTAATTTTGAACAAATTGTTATTCTGCTCTAGATGTAACCGTGCATTGCACAAGTATTGTGTCTCGTACTTAAAAGAACTACATACGAGAAAGAAAGTTATGTTGGATAAATTAGTGTGTTTAATCAGAAAATTAAAAAATTAATTGAATAAATAGCCAAGAAATCAAAACCAAGATGGGACAAAAACCCAAAGCTTGTGCAACACACAATTACTTAAAGCTTATTTGATGTCTCCCATGGTGCTAAGAGCGTTGCAACGATAGTTGGACATAAATGGCCAGAATGCTGGGCATTAATATGTCCATAAACTATCAATTTAAAGACACATTAAAGGAGAAGAACGTTGGACATTAAAAATTGTAACGGTTCAGCGGGAGCCTGCTAGTGATCGTTCAACAGAGAGCAGCAGCCTGATAGTCTGTTGGTTCTGGAGGAAAAAATTCTTCCGCTCAATTATTAGACTGCTTATCTTATCTTCTTATCTTCTTATAATTAAAAGAACTGCATATGAGAGAGAAAGTTCTCCCGCTCAATTGTTAGTAAGCTTATTTTATACTCTGTGGTAATAATACTTAAAAGCACCGCATGTGAGAGAAAATTTTTCCGCTCAATTGTTAGCCAGATTATCTTTATCTTATACCTAAAAGCCTTATATAATGGAGAAAATCATTCCGCTCAATTGTTAGTTTGATTATCTTATATCCTCATTATTTGTGATTATGAACAACTTTAGCTCTAAAAGCATAAACTAAATTTATTCTGATCTGAAAGTTTGCTTGTAAAATCCATCCCAATTTTTTTGTTAAAAAACTGAACATAAAATTTGGGTTTCTTATGCACTATGGTTGATTTAATCGGTATAACTTAATGGTCGATATGAGATTTGCATGTAACCTCTAATTTGATATTTAATTTTTCTATATAAATTATATTCTAGAGCTTGATTGATGATCATATTTTTTAAGGTTTATCGGCTAATTTTTCACCAAACGTGTAATTTTTTATTCCGTGTTTTAAATTGTTTAATAATCAAAATATGTTAGGTTGAAGTTACTTTTTTTTGTTGAATTGGCTAAAATTTCTATAGAAGGCTATTTAATTAGTTATATTTTTCATATATTTTTTTCTTTATTTTATTAATAAATAATTCAATATTGTCCATACCCGCAAAACATTTAATGCTTTGATGATGATGTTAAATAATACGATAGTATATTGATTATAACATAAATAATAAAGTAATAACTGTGAGATTGAAGTTTGTACATAGGAGGTAGAAATAATATGAATCACAAACTAATTGATTACAAAAATGTGGTGAAGTTTTTGAAAAAAATCAAAAATAAAAAATGACAAAATATTAAGGCATAGAGAGTATAACTTTTTTTAGTGATTCCATATAATATAATAAGGGAATACTAATAAAAATACCTCAAACTTTGAAGGGGTGTAGGGTAAACACCCCAAACATGCATATGCAATTTAAATACCCCAAACGTTGTATAAAAAGTTATTTTGCAAAATTGTCACATATTATTTCTTTCAAAAATTTAAATTTATGGGGGTTAATTGCATTATTTAAAATAGTCAATTAAAAGGGTTGCAATTACATAGATTGGGGATAACATTATTTATTTCTCAATGGAAGTTTCAATTGTTAATTGTGTCTTCATGAATTCCGAAATATTTTAAATTATGCAATTAACACCATAAATTTGCATTTTTGAAAGAAATAATACTTGACTATGGTGCTAAAAATACTTTTTATATAGTTTGGAGTATTTAAATCACATATGAAAGTTTGGAGTGTTCATCTCACACCTTTTCAAAGTTTGGGGTATTTTAATTATTTTTCCCTATAATTAAACATGATAGTATTGATTTATTGATTACTTAATTAATAAGAGAGAAAAAACGCACCGAGGAAAAAGAAGATTGCACCGAACGACCGACTCAAGCCATTTTGGAGTTGAGAAAAATCTGGCCACCCAATTGATTATGAGGCCACGTGTCAGCAAAATAGCAAATTAGTAAAATAAGGAGAGGCAAACACGTTAGCATTATTGAGGGTAAAAGAATATTTTGCACAACTATCTTCTTCTTTTTTTGATAAAATGTAAGTATATATATATTCAGAAAAATAGCATAGTACAATGCATCACGATTACAAGCAAGGTGCATATCCCAGGTCACGGGATACCACAAAATCAAGGCATACATTCTCACAAATCACACATCATGAACCCTAACAGTATTAGGAAAGACAAAAACAACCCACAAACCCAGCTACGAGAAAAGGTATCACTAAACTAACCACCAAAGAAAAATCGGAAAGGAGTCGTTAACTTTGAATCAAAACGAATCTCCCCTTTCTTCTTTGTAACTCCCGGGAGCCTCTCAAGACATTTGACGGTGAAGGTTAGGCCCTTTTTGTCCAAGTCATCCGTAAGGCGAAGAGAGGTATCAACTTTAATCACATTAGAATGAACAAATTTAAAAGGTTTAACAAACAGCCGGAATTTCATACCATTGACCACCTCACATTTAGTTACTACATCGTTTTGGTGCAAGTCAGTCTCCCTCGTTATTATCCTTTCATTTTCATCCAAAAAGAACTCGTCATCTTCATCCTCGGAAGATTCGTGGTTAGTTTTCACACCCAAGAGTTGGCCTATTGTCTTTCTTTCCTTCGCAGCAGGCAATTCACTCTTCTGGGCAGTCTGCCCATGTAACCCGGTCGGGTTCAGGCTTGACCCGGTCGGGTTTGAGCCTTTGGCAGTAGAATCTGCCTGTGACCCGGTCGGGTTAGGGGCCAACCCGGTCGGGTTTACCTCCACAGCTACTGGCCGATCAATAACAGGTGCAAAAGCTACTGGCCGAGCAGAAACAGGTCCGACTCCAACAGATTTATCACCTAAAACATCAATTTTTTCCTTTTCTTTGTTTGCCCTAACCCCACATAGCTTCTTACAAATAAATGGGTGGTGCCCATATTCTTTGCAATGAAAACAATAACTAAGAAAAGTTTCATAAACCACACTTTGCTTGAATACCTTTTGGGAAGGTAACCGTATATGAAACGAGAGTGGCGGCGGCTTCGAGATGTCAACCTCTATCAAAACTCTAGCATAGTCGTTGTTGATCCTCTCTTTGGTGATTTTATCCGTAGCTATCGGGACCCCAACCATGGAAGCAACCTCACTCATGGCCTCATCATTCCATAGTTGCATAGGTAAATCATGGAACTTAACCCAAATTGGAACTTTTAAAAATTCTTCGTCCTCAAACGAAAAATTTTCCGAAAGTTCCTTGAGTATTAGTAGTTTCCCAAACACGGTGTACGGTCCTCCAAGTAGCACCTTTGATCTATCCTCTCCACTTTGAAATTTAAAAATCAACCAACCCTTTTTGTGGGACCTCACAAGGCATTTGACACCCCATTTTGCTTGAAGATCATGAACCGCTTTGAGTCCGGGGAAATTTCCGGTGAAGTGTCCAACTAGGCAAAAGCCACACATTTCAACCATAGTCGGTAAAACTCGATCTCCAAAATCCAATGTCTCACCTTTAGGAGGGATATATCTTAGTTTAAAACCGTGACTCAAATCATGATTATCCTAAACAAAGCCTTCCAAGATTCCGGTTCTGCCCGTGGCACCGGAGCCCGTTTTTCAATTGCTGTAACACCCCAATAGTCTGCATAGGAATTACTGCCAAAGGACTCCCAACAGTTACTGCCTTAGTAGTTAATTTCGCAGCAGACCCAATTAATGTGTTAGCTTCACCTGCTGTTACACCTCCAGGAGTTCTATTGACCTCCCCACTCAAGGTGTGCTTGTTAGCAGCAGCATAGGAAGTCCCAGCAGCAGCAGGTTTACCACCTGGTATGGTAGCATTGTCAGTCTGCCCAGTTTTAGCATCTACCCGTGCTTCAGCATTTTTTCCGGAAAGCCTTGAAAGTGCAGCAGTTCCTGCAGTCAGCCCAGCCTTGGCCGTAGATTTCACAAAAGAGTTCCCAACAATAGAGTTCATAGCAGAAGAGTTCTCAGGAGTAGGAGAAGGCCCTGCAGTTTCAGCTTCCCCTGCAGAGGTCAAGAGTCCATCTTTACTGGGATTCCCCCCAGCTTTTTCCTTCCCAGATGGGAGAACAGGGAATTCTTCATCAATGTAAGAAGGGCAAAATTGGACCTAGTTCGCATTGTGGATGCCTCCACGGCCTTCTTTCTCGCCATAACCACAGATATTAGCGAAAAGGGGGCTAGTCGCAGGTCAAAAATAGGCCTTCGTCGCAGGGGATGTATCCTCCCAGCTTAGAAGGTCCAGTTTTGAAGTGCGAGCAGCACCGCAGCACCTATGTCAGTTCCCAAAACAGGTTTTACAGCAAAATCGTTCCCAAACACAGCAATCATTCCAGCAATAGCAGATTATCAAGCGTATGAACAGTAAAATTGGACATAAAACTCCTCGTAACTAGGGTTCTAGACCGTAAATCGTGGAGTCAGTCTCAAATCCAGGAAACGGCATACCTATATTCCGACTAAACACAGCAATAGCAAAACAAATTCAGAGAAACATACCGACCGTGAGATTCATCGACGGAAAAGAATTGGGGAGAAATTTCCAGGAGAGAGAAGCTCTCAACTATCTCCTTTGTTATATATAATATCTCCTTTCTTATATATAAATAGAACAGAATAGAAGAGGGTTTCCATCTATGTAACGTAAATTACACGGTGCAGCCGGTTGTATCTAGAGCATGGTACAGTCGGGTTTTTTTGTAATTACCTTCAAGTTTGAGCTTCTTTGTTTAATATGATGTTCGTCCTTCGCGCTGAAGATTCCGTCTTTCTCCTAGGTTTATTCCAGTCGTATCTTTCTTCTCTACGGCATTCGATCTCTCCAGCTGAAAGCTTCTGTTTGCTCATCAATGCAATTAATATTTTTTCTTCCTCCGGTCCTCTCTTTCTTCTCTATCGCATTCGATCTCTTTAATCTCTACCGCATTCAATCTCTTATTGTCTTCATCTATTTTTCTTCTTTATTGTTTGGATTTTCGATCTTTCTTGTAAGGAATAATTGTTTTTAGATTTTGATGATGCTATATTCATTAGGACTTTAGAAGTACCCCTTTAGAAATTATGTATTAGAATTTTCCTTTGTAAAATTCTTAGATGTATTCGACCTGACAGAAGTGCTTCAAGAGCAGAAGTGCTTCAAGAACAGAAGGGCTCCCAGAGCAGAAGTGCCTCTTAAGGCTTTATCGGAACAGAGGACCTTTGGTTCTCTGCTCCAGAACAGAAGTCCTCAGGACCTCTGTTAGTATTGACTCTGACAGAAACCCTTCTGGGTCTCTGTTGGATACTCCCAACAGAAGTGCTCCAGACCTCCTCTGTTCTACTCTCAGACAAAGACACCAGAAGGTCTGACACTTAGAAGATTTTCAAAGAACCGGGAAGTCAACTTAAAGATTCCTTCAACGGCTAGGAGTATAAAACGGAAAAGCTATAGTGCATGCATTAAATGCTCATTTAATGCACCCCATGCTACGTAGAGTAATTGCAGATGATTGGCCGGAATGTCAGGAATACTTTATCCCAAAATAGTAACCCGCCAACCTTACCGGGCTCTACTAGTCAAGTCAACTGATCACTCATTTAATGCAGTTGTCCTCCTACTCCTCCAACGGGAAGACAACCTCAGTATAAAAGATACACTACGAAGAACAACCGGATAACTTTGCCATAACCTTGCTATCACATTGCTAACCGAGCAAGATATTCAAACTCTGAAAAGCAAAAGCCTCCTTGAGATTCAAACTTATTATCCTCTACAAGAGAAGGCAGAAGTTGGAAAAATACTCTTTCCAACTCAAGCAAAGTTCCAAGTGTTCTTCAACTCTTCAAGCTCTTCACATACACACATTTTGTAACGAAGCAAGTTGGAGGAACCTCAGTTTCAACAGAAACTCTTCTTGCTACAAGAAGGACGTCCTAATAACTGGAGTAGTGAAGTGGTTATACTTCAAGGAGACTCAGTGAAAGGACCAGTGTTAAAGGAAGCCAGGCAGTGCATCCCAGGACACATCTAGACTTGAAGAAGACGTGGAGTACTTCTTAAGTGCTAGGACTAAGGCTTTGTAAACGGCAGTTTTTACAGCTTAGTGGAACAGTGGATTAGAGGAACGAGTTGTTCCTTGAACCACTATAAAAATCCCTGGTGTCATTTACTTACTGCTTTTAATTCTTGCACTTAGATAGAACTGTATAACTCCTTGGACTTGGTATCTGTGTTCAGCAGAACTGGTTCTACGAGTTAACAGAAGGCCTTCTGCCTTTGTTTCTCTGAGGCTAACAGAACTCCCTGCCAGAATCCCATCCGCTACCAGTCTGTTCTCTCAACAGAACAGGCTATTATGAAAAATCTGGTACTTAGTTTAAAAAGCTAAAGACCAATACAGTCTATTCACCCCCCCCCTCTAGACTGTATCCAGTATAACCGGGACCAACAAGTGGTATCAGAGCCTCCTTGTTCTAATAATCTTTTAGGTTATTTGTTGAACAAAGATCCACTTGTTTTTCTGTTTTACCTCATTTCTATCTGATATAATGGATCACTCCTTGTCCAAGAATCTTATGTTTTCAGATCTTAAGTTTGATGACTGGAGGATCCGGATGAAAGCACATCTCTGTGCCCTGCATGATGAGATGTGGGAAGTTCTTGATATTGGCCCCTTCACTAGCTTCCAGAAGGTCAACCCTGAACATGCCATAGACAACACCAGACCCCAGATGATTAGCAAAGCCAAGTCAGAATGGACCACTGAAGAGAGGAGAAAGTACAACTTAGACAATATTGCCAAGGACATCCTCTACAAATCCATTGATGATAGATACTTCAACAGGATCAAGAAGTGCAAGACTGCTAAGGAGATCTGGGATACTCTTGAGCTCATTGGAGCTGGTGATGAGCAGGAGAAGGACAACAAACTAACCATAGCCAACAAGAAGTTTGATGACTTCAAACTTCTCCCTGGTGAAAGCATCTCCAAGATGTATGACAGGCTCCTCACTCTCACTGGAGAGATTTCTGAGCTTGGCAAGGATCTCACAACCAAGGAGATCAACCTGAAGGTGTTGAGGGGACTGCCCTTAGCATGGAAGATGAAAGTTGTTGCTGTCCAAGCCAGCAAGGATGTAAAGACTTATCCCACTGATAAGCTCATTTCAGATCTCAAAGCTCATGAGTTTGAAATGATTGAAGAAAAGGAAGATGTACCAGAAGAGAGGACCACTACAGCCCTCACTGCAAGCACATCTAAGGTAAATGATTTTGACCCTTCAGTACTTTTATCTGATGAATATATGGTTGCCTTTGCCAGGAGATTCAAAAAGTTTATGAAGAATCCCAAAGATGGAAGGAGTCCATCTTTCAACAGAAAGCCATACCAGAAGGTCAAATCAACAGAAAGCAGTGGAGAGCTTCTCTGTTACAACTGCAGACAACCTGGTCACTTCAAGGCTGATTGTCCCCATCCTAGAGTGTCCAAGAAGCAAGGACAGGATGGAGAAAAGAAGAAGTACGAAGACAACTCCAGAAGGAGAAAGGCACTTGTGACAGAACAGGTGGAGAAAGACCCTCTGTCAGAAACAGAATCCAGTTCTGACTCAGATTCTGATGAGGCCTTCTGTTGCCTGGATACTGAGACAGAAGACCTTTGCCTGATGGCTCATTCTGATGATGAGGTAACCTCTACTTCTGAATCTAGTTTTTCTTCGGTAGGTTTAGCTTTTGATTCTGATTCAATGTCAGAATTTTGGGAAGAGTTTAAGGCCATTCAAGCCACTTATTCTTCTGTAACAGAAGAAAACAGTAAGTTAAAAGCTGAAATTCTTGACTTGAAAAAGGAGGTTGAGATCAAAATCAATCTTCTAATTGAGGAAAGAGATCAACTGGAGACTGAAAATGTTTCTCTTCTTAAGAGAATAAGAGAAATAGAGCCTCTCGAGATTAAGTACAAAGCTTACCAGAAGGCCCAGTCTTCCATGGAAAAGATTGTGCTTGATCAACAGATTGGCACTGGTTTTGGTCTTGGTTATGGCTCAACAGAATCAGGTGAGCCTTCTGTAATGCCTAGCACCAGAGTTGCTAAGGCAGATAAGGTCATAGAGCCACTGATTTCTAGCCCCATCTGTCAAGCTGGTGTATCTGGCACCAAGGTTGTCCATGAGGAAGTCAGACCAGAAAAGGGTAAGATAAAGGTTCAACAGAAACCCTTTTTGAAAAATAATGAACCTGGCAGAAAACCTAACAACAGAAGAGGTTTTCAGAATAACAAAAATAAAAGACCATTCATTGACAGACAACCTCATGACAATCGTGCCAGAAATGATCACTAGAAGGGCAAATATTAAGAGAGAGTTAACTTCAGGCAGAAGAGGTTGGCTGGTCAACTTCAGAAGCCCAAAGTTAACCGTCCCTCTGCTCTTGATAGTATATGGGACTTCTTTCCAACAAAGAAAGCTATGCAAAAGTATGTAAACAGGAAGCATGACCCTCACAAACATCTGCCCAAAGTGAATCACACTTCTGTCTACTACAACTACCAGGTGGACAACGGGTACCACCCACCAAGGTTTCACTTGATGAGACCAAAATGGTACCAACTATCCAGACTCCATGACCCCCCAGGACCCAGCATTGCTTGGGTACCTAAATCTTTCTTTTGATCTTGCAGGAACTGTGTGCTGGAGCTATCTCTGAACAAGAATGGTTTATTGATAGTGGATGCTCCAGGCACATGACAGGTGACAGAAGTTGCCTAACAGAGTTCCAGAAATGCAAAGGACCTAGAGTTACTTTTGGAGGTAATGACAAAGAAGGTCAAACAAAAGGAAGAGGAAAGCTGATCAAGAACCAGATAATCATTGATGATGTCTCATATGTCAAAGGATTGAAGTTCAACTTGCTAAGTGCTAGCCAATTCTGTGACAAAGGCTACACTGTTGAATTCACAAAGGACTTCTGCTATGTGAAGCATGAGACAACAAAGGAAGTGGTTCTTACAGCATCAAGGAAGAAGAACATCTATGTAGTTGATTGGAACACTGCAAAAGATGGAGTTTGCCTGATAGCCAAAGGAGATTCAAAACTGAGCTGAGACTGGCACAAAAAGCTCAACCATTTGAATTTCAAAACAATCAACAAACTAGCCAGAGAACACATTGTAGAAGGGCTACCAGACATTGTGTACAAGAAAGAGACCCTCTGCAGTGCATGTCAGAAAGGCAAACAAGTAAAGAATTCCTTCAAACCCATGGCTGGAGATCTTTCTACAAGTCCTCTAAATCTAATTCACATGGATTTATTTGGACCTGTTGAGACTCCAAGCGTTGGTGGCAAGAAATACACCCTAGTCATGGTTGATGACTACTCCAGATACACATGGACTGTTTTTCTGACAAAGAAAAATGAAACTCTTCAGAAGTTGCCATCTCTGTTAAAGCAACTTCAGACTGAGAAGAACTTGAAAGTGAAGACAATCAGATCAGACAGAGGAACTGAATTTGTCAACCAAGTCATAAAGGACTTCTGTGATCAGAATGGAACTTTTCATCAACTCTCTGCCGCCAGAACCCCTCAACAGAATGGCGTAGCA